TGATGCTTAAGGTACAACCACTTTTCTCTTAAAATAGACAATGGCCGTTATCAAATCTAGTATATAATCTAACAATATTTCAATTACGACTTGCTTGGTTAGCTGAAATTACAATTGCACTACAGTTCAATCAGAAAACGGACACCTAAAGTTGCAATTGCAGTTGGTTGCTTCCCTGTAACTGTAATTTTTTATGACCGCAATTACAAAATGAGCCATTTTCTGCAAGACAGACTTGTAGCCGAATCAAAGTTCAATTTTTTTTTTTACAAAATTTTCATTCTACAACCGTAGTTGAAAAAAAAAATAGTGAAACAAGCAATTCTCACCGTAACTGCATCTGCCTTTTTGCAAATTACAACTGTAGTTACAGGTTTCAGTTATTTGGGAACAAAACAGCTATTACTTGTGTAGGCACTTCAACAAGGATTGCCAAATGAATCCTTCCCAATCTAATATTACACAGATCCAATGATAAATACACTCAATGATTTATATTAGCTATGATCTCCAAAAAAAATAAAATCAAGTTTTTAGATTTTTTCATCTATGCATCAAATAGGCAGAAGAAATCAAATGGTAGAAAATGATAGTTGTTTATACATAAGAGTTTTGAGCATTCAAATTTAAAATGCAAACATGATGTCACGATCTAACCTATACTAATTATTGTTCTTTTGCAATATTCTAGGCTATAAAACTGAGCACTAGTTATTTAGACCTTATATTTTGTGGCTACTTGATGAGTGGGCAAAAACAAAAACATCCAACATTTAGTTTTTACACACTTTAACTTACATAAATCAACTTCAATGGAGCAGATCTTTCAAAGTTAACACCATATAGAAAATTCTGATGGCACTATTATTGATTTTAATGGCCTACTGGAATTCGATGTCACTTTAAAGATCTACTCCGCAGAAGCCTCTTATAAAATACCATAACAGTTTCAAAGAGGACAATACTAAGCCATTGACTATTTGATTATAAGTTATAACCACTGCTATATTTTCAATTTAGTAAGAATTTAATTTTGAATAGAAGAGTAAAATCATAATGAAAATAGTAAAATCAAGAATTGGTCGATGAGAGGTCCATGCTGAAGATCATTATTGACTTTTTCAAAAAAAACACAGATCGACCTATTAAATATTTCATCAATTTCAATTTTGAATAGAAGAGTACAATCATAATGAAAGTAGTAAATCAAAGCTTGGTCGACAGGACGTCCATGTTGAAGATCATTATTGACTTTTTTACAAACACACCGATCAATTTATTACATATTTCATCAATTTCAATTTCTTCTAATATGCTACTTGTGGTTACAGTTACTTGAATCTAAAAAGTGTATCTTCAATAAGATTTATGTTCTAAAATTAAGAGTATCAATTTCGATTGTTACTAAACATGATATAGGTATATTTCTAACAATATAAGTATTAAGTACTCTCATCACTTGTTAAAAAAACAAGTTAAATATAAGAAAATTATGTTCTGTATTACAGTCTACATATATGACTAAGAAATTTGATATTATTTCCTTACTAAAATTACCATAAACTATCTTTTCATCGTCTTATCAATATCACCAGCCATTCAATGATATTTTTATCATCTTATCAATATCACTATCATTCATGATGCTTAAGGTACAACCACTTTTCTCTTAAAATAGACAATGGCCGTTATCAAATCTAGTATATAATCTAACAATATTTCAATTACGACTTGCTTGGTTAGCTGAAATTACAATTGCACTACAGTTCAATCAGAAAACGGACACCTAAAGTTGCAATTGCAGTTGGTTGCTTCCCTGTAACTTGATGCTTAAGGTACAACCACTTTTCTCTTAAAATAGACAATGGCCGTTATCAAATCTAGTATATAATCTAACAATATTTCAATTACGACTTGCTTGGTTAGCTGAAATTACAATTGCACTACAGTTCAATCAGAAAACGGACACCTAAAGTTGCAATTGCAGTTGGTTGCTTCCCTGTAACTGTAATTTTTTATGACCGCAATTACAAAATGAGCCATTTTCTGCAAGACAGACTTGTAGCCGAATCAAAGTTCAATTTTTTTTTTTACAAAATTTTCATTCTACAACCGTAGTTGAAAAAAAAAATAGTGAAACAAGCAATTCTCACCGTAACTGCATCTGCCTTTTTGCAAATTACAACTGTAGTTACAGGTTTCAGTTATTTGGGAACAAAACAGCTATTACTTGTGTAGGCACTTCAACAAGGATTGCCAAATGAATCCTTCCCAATCTAATATTACACAGATCCAATGATAAATACACTCAATGATTTATATTAGCTATGATCTCCAAAAAAAATAAAATCAAGTTTTTAGATTTTTTCATCTATGCATCAAATAGGCAGAAGAAATCAAATGGTAGAAAATGATAGTTGTTTATACATAAGAGTTTTGAGCATTCAAATTTAAAATGCAAACATGATGTCACGATCTAACCTATACTAATTATTGTTCTTTTGCAATATTCTAGGCTATAAAACTGAGCACTAGTTATTTAGACCTTATATTTTGTGGCTACTTGATGAGTGGGCAAAAACAAAAACATCCAACATTTAGTTTTTACACACTTTAACTTACATAAATCAACTTCAATGGAGCAGATCTTTCAAAGTTAACACCATATAGAAAATTCTGATGGCACTATTATTGATTTTAATGGCCTACTGGAATTCGATGTCACTTTAAAGATCTACTCCGCAGAAGCCTCTTATAAAATACCATAACAGTTTCAAAGAGGACAATACTAAGCCATTGACTATTTGATTATAAGTTATAACCACTGCTATATTTTCAATTTAGTAAGAATTTAATTTTGAATAGAAGAGTAAAATCATAATGAAAATAGTAAAATCAAGAATTGGTCGATGAGAGGTCCATGCTGAAGATCATTATTGACTTTTTCAAAAAAAACACAGATCGACCTATTAAATATTTCATCAATTTCAATTTTGAATAGAAGAGTACAATCATAATGAAAGTAGTAAATCAAAGCTTGGTCGACAGGACGTCCATGTTGAAGATCATTATTGACTTTTTTACAAACACACCGATCAATTTATTACATATTTCATCAATTTCAATTTCTTCTAATATGCTACTTGTGGTTACAGTTACTTGAATCTAAAAAGTGTATCTTCAATAAGATTTATGTTCTAAAATTAAGAGTATCAATTTCGATTGTTACTAAACATGATATAGGTATATTTCTAACAATATAAGTATTAAGTACTCTCATCACTTGTTAAAAAAACAAGTTAAATATAAGAAAATTATGTTCTGTATTACAGTCTACATATATGACTAAGAAATTTGATATTATTTCCTTACTAAAATTACCATAAACTATCTTTTCATCGTCTTATCAATATCACCAGCCATTCAATGATATTTTTATCATCTTATCAATATCACTATCATTCATTGATATTTTTATCTTCTTATCTATATCATCATCATTGATCAAATTAAAGTTTAGTACAAATTAAAGTTTAGTAAAAAGAGAAGTAGTAATTTTATATTTTTAACATTCATCATTCATTTTTAAAGTTCAGAAATTATTTTGAAATGACGTGTATTAAATTATTTCACTAACTATTTGATATATTATGATTTCACTAATATGCAGTTTTTTTAGGTTTCATTTACAGCTAAGAAACCGTATTTCCAGAAGGATGTCACTTTCTAAGCTTATGGGCATTCCTCTTATTTTGTTGAATACTGTTCAATACCCTATAACCCACTCTATTGATTAATGTGTCTCCATGCGCATGCATGCTGAAAACTTAATTTACATCATGAAACAACAAAGAGGTCAAAGTCTATTTACCTGGCTGCAGCTGTATAAACAACGAGCACCAAAAGCCCAAGCTAGACCTGTCACCTGTTCTCAAATCAGAAATATTTTAGGTTCCGTAATAATATAATAACCGATTTAGTCTCAAACAGAAGGCATACCGCTTGGTTATGTGCATTATACAGACACATACTATCTACTTTGTTGCTAGATATCTGATAGATGCATGCTTCCAACGACCCAGATCCTCTCCCAATTGCAAGAAAAAACTTATCAGGGGATGGTAATGGCACGACCAATGAAATTGTTGACACAGGAATTGATGTCACCTCCGTCACCTATTTTGGAGGGATACTTCAATAGTGTTACAAAAACATAATAAAATGATTAACTTCCACAGGAAATAGCATGAAGGTCTAATTCTTTGGTGCGTCCATGCGTATGTGGCACATGCATGACAGAATGAGCTGAGAGGGAGAGAGATCTTACATGCCGAAGCAAGGACAATGGAGGATTATCATCTTCTGAAGAATTCATCAATCTTTCAACATGTCCCAACCATATCTTCACACTGCAAATATATTATTAAATTACCAATTGTTAAGTTTGCAGTAAAACTGTCCCAATCTTAGAATCAGAAGAAACACAGACCACAAATAAATCGTATACAGAAAATAAAACCAACCCTGATATAAATTTTAGTAAATAAGGTAATCTGAGTGATCAATTACAAATTCTCAAGTATGATTTAGAATTTTTTGCAATCTTAAGAAAAAATGAAAACACAAAGTACAGATCATACACCAATCGTATACAGAAACTCAAAACCAATGCTTGAGATCCGAATACTTAATAAGGTAAACCTTAGTCATGGAGAAAGAACCAACTGATTTTCATCAAAAACTTGATTGACACTCACAACCTTACCCAGTTTAGAAATGAATATAGATTACTGACTATCAAGAGGAAAGCAGTCTCAAAATTGAAATACTTGTTATATTAGCAATAGATCAGGGATGCCATATACATATCTATATGCCTATCACCAAATCCTTGCATTAGGGAGTCCGGTAATCAAGACATTATATGAATCCTATCAAGTGTTTAAGTATAACAAAACGAGTAATGGTTAAACTCAAATGAAACTAGAAAATGGATACATGTCCCAACCCCACACAGACTTGAATCAAGGCCTTACTGTTCTTAAAAAGTTAAGGAATCCGAAAAAGAATATTCTTTTTTATATGGGCTCACCTACCATCACAACTCCCAGTAGCCAAGACTAACTGGTTTCCTGATGAATTGATAGAATGCATTCCCCAGCTCATTGCAGTGATCCAAGAATTATGAGCCTGGAGAAGTCCAATGAACACTGGTTCAACAGGAACCCTGCCATGCTCAATGGTGTAGCACTGAGGTTTGTCTATTCTCCAAAAAGAAATATTACCAGCCTTTCCGCCAACAGCAAGTATAGAGAAACTGTTAACATTTAAATGATCACCTACTGGTAACTTTATTGCAGGCGACCAGGCAACAGTGAGTGATGACAACAACATACTGCGAAAAGTATATTGCTTTGCCGTTATCAATTCGGGAGTATCATTTTCTGCTCTAACTGATTGTTGCCTTGCAAATTTCTGCACAGAATATTGTTGTAGATTATTAATAAACTAAATGATGCAAACAGTAAATAAACTTCCTAATAGAAATGTAGGCATCAATTGATGGTGCAATTTATACATAATAGGAGAAAATTGAAAGAAGTAAAAGAAAAAATAAATGTAAGACCTTAGCAGAAGAAACTTGCTTAGCACTGGAACATGGATTAATAGCAGCTCTTCTACTCGTAGTCACTTTTCGCGTTTTCTTTGGTGGAACATAAAGCTCATCATCTGTGTTTTGGTCAAGGTAATTGACATTTCCACCATTTGGCAGTTCTTCTAGACACCCGGCATCATTTACTTGAATTCTGAAAAGGAAAAATATGGACTCCGTATGTAAAAAATAATGTAAGCACAAATAACCACACTGAAAATAAATAAGATCATCTTCTTAATGCCCCAATGTACTACTAGGACTGTTGAAAGGAAAAGTGCCTATACATGCCTATAGAGCATCAATTAGGTAGACAGAAACATAATTTCAGGAAGTGAAAACAGATGATAAAATCATAATGCATAATGTAAGTAGACAGGTGAATACATAACACTGGCGTAGATTATAATTTACAGAAGCAGAATGGAGAGAAGTGACAGATGAGACTATGGAGCATAAAAGGTATAAATATTGAAGAAATGTAATGAAACACAACTAAAATGCAGATATTAGATCAACACATCGGAAGTAGAAGGAAAAGAATTTCAAGTTCTGGAAACAGAGGAGCAAAAAATCATAGCAGATAATGAAAATAAACTGATGAAAACATCAGAGCGAAGTAGATAATAGTCTACAGGAGCAGAAGCATAAGAACTGACAAATAAGATAAATAGAGCCCCATGTAAAACTTGAACACTTAATTGATGACACCATGATACATCAGTCACTCAACTTTCCCTAATAGACATATTGGAAAACATAAAGTTTTGTTTCATCATATAGTATCAAGTCCCGCTATTACATGAAGTAAAATCATAATCATACTCTGTGGAGCAGCTATTTCATCAGAATGATAGTCAACAGATATGTACAACTTCACGATGATTTTAATATAAGTGTCCCTGGATTAGGTTTGGAGAGATTTTTTGTCTATTCCTTCCGACACCAAAAAAAAGGGGAGAGCCTCTATTTATCTCCTCGAAAACAGGGGTCCTAACAAGAGTATAGAGATTGTAGTTAGCAAGTAGAAAAGGTTAAAACCATCACAATGCTGATGTTTGATGGGTCAAAAATTCAGGGCATTCAATGAGAAAAATTGCATAAATTATTTGCAGGCCTTCACTGAATAAGACATAACTGAGAATATTTGAAAACTCGACAAATATATTTGAGTGTTACTTTAGTAAAAAATTTGAATTTGAATGATAACTTGTTGGCCCAAGTACATGGGACCAACAAGTGTAGAGAAAAGGGTAATGTTAAACCAAGACCATGAGAATGTACACTGAAATGAATAGACCTATCTACCTCCTCAGGAAGGAATTGTACCAAACATTTACTGCTCCTTCAAGATGGATGTATTTCAATGATGGTGGATAACATCTTGAACTGTTAGAATTGACCTATCTAGTTGCATAAAGTAATTGCGTAGAGTAGTACATGATGAAAGAAACTGAAAGTATTAGTTTTGAATCTGAAAATTATAACTTGATATAGTTAAAAGCAGTGTTATCAATGCGTGATGCGCAATCTGGGTGCAAAGTCCCATCGCGCGCACATGCGCAAGGCACAATGCAATGCGCGTGCTCAAGTTAAGCGAGAAGCACTGCACACATAATTTTTCAAATCAAGCATGAAAGAATGTTTTTATGAATTTTCACATAAAAAAATGTCAAGATAGATAGTATCTACTACCAAATAACAAAATGAGGTCTTAATTCACTATGCTAACACAGTAACACATCCAACATAGTAGTAAAATTCATAATTTTCCAAATCAAAAGTCATATCAAGGCTAATTTGAAGCAAAATCAAATAGCGAACGAGAATGAGTTAAGGTCCTCAATTGGTCTAGTGTAGTAGACTAATGAGTTTATTTTTCTTTTTGAGATATGGATTATCAGGTATAAAGACCCAATTGAAATGTTAGAATAAAAATTAATGAATGTCTTGCATGCTTCCTGTACGAAGCATGCGGCACTTGCAAGGTGCAAAGAGTTGTTGCCGCATTAGATGCGGGATGCTTCGCCACCGCCTTGCATCATAGGACGCATGAGGTGCACCTTTGAAAACACTCTTGAGAAGTTTCCATAGTAAGCTATTTATTTCAGAACAATGTTATCCATCTTGTAAAAGACCACATCAGAGAGATCTAAACTTTAACACATCACTTTTATATATATATAAGACCTAGTATAGTGAGTTATAATCTGAGAAATGAATTACTAAGTTCACCTTTACAAATGTGATTAAACTGGTTGTGATTATGGATGTCTGGCTACATTTTCTCAGTGTGCATGGGATTGGGTGGGCAACTGCATGCGTGGGAGAGGTATGTGTGTGCGCATTATGTGTGTATTTTGCTTGAGAGATTGGGATAGGGGTTTTGATGAGGGAACAAACATCCATATTGATGGGGAACAGAAGCATAGAAATCTGTTGAAATGATTATTTGGATAAAATAAACTAGAAAAACATATTGGAATTGCACTCTTCATTTAAGAAAAAAAGACACAAATGATGGGCTTTACACCCGGGCACTTCACATGATGGCAACTCACATGCCTAATACTAGCTACAATTCACATGCAGAGTTTCTCACAATCATTTTTCTCTCCTCTCCCTCAAATGAAAAAGCACATCATTATTTATAGAACTAAAACGAAATCCGAATAGATAACATCAAATAAAACATCCTAACAAAATAGCAACTCTAATATGTAAATATCTTCATCCTAACCAAATCCCTGCACTAAAGAAAATCAAATCTTTAATAAGATCCTAACTTCTAATTTGTTCTGCATCACATATGCTTTATGAAATGCTGATTAGTGATTACCATGAAGGTTTAATCAGTTTGACACCCCGTGCTTCTGTGAATGGAGCTAGATAGCACTGACTTTGCCAATCAGTTGGATTACTGGAACATAAAATCTCGGAACTTTCATTTCAAAACATTTGATACAGTAACATGCAATGATCAAGCCGTCATAGTGGCCTAGCATGGGGACAATAATCTGCCTGGGGATATATATGGAAGAAGCATAATGTGATCTCTCTTATATTTTAAATCTCGAATGCTCTTCGTATGTGCATTTGACAACACTCAACATCAGATCGAGATAAATTCTACATGTTTACTAACTGTGAAAGAACAATTACTCACAGTAAAAGTACAAAAGAAAATAAGTATCTAGTTCTCAGCAAGCTTTGCTCATGTCTCACAAGAAGTAGAGCTAAACCTGTGAAGTATGAACCAAGATACGGGATGAGGGTACAACCACAGTTAGCATTAACTCTGTTAAAAAGAAGGGGGAAAAAAGAAATTTTATTCATGGTGTCTTTAGAACTTCGCTTAAAACAGATGAGCATAAATCACCTACTTGACCAAATCTATTCAGACTCCTTTCCAACACAATTCTATTCAACGTCTTTCCCCATAATGAAATATTTTATATCATCCTTTGTAAATATTAGAATCACTCTATTTTGATATTTATTATCTAACATATGGGATTATTTTAAGAAGCAAGCTGTGTTAGCTTTTGGTGGCTTTTAGTTTTCATGATAAAGTATTTATAAAAATTGTATGGGCATCATAGCAATTTTCTTGGTCAAGCCTAACTAATTTGGATGAGTTTACAAGCTAGTTTCTTCAAAAGCTGAGGTATACTAGCTTGTTAAAATGGGACTTAAAAGATGGCTTATTCTATGATGTTACGAAACAAGTAGACATAAAAAATGCTAGCTTAAAAGCTACTTCGACTAAAAAGTAAGCCCCCCAAACACCCTCTTAATTATAGATTCTTGTTGCATAAGCTATTTATCCGTCAAATAATATAAAATCGGCTAAAATAAACCTAAGAACTTGTTTGTTACATTAACTAAACTTCTACGGAATACAATATATGTTAGAAAAGTAAGTAATAGACATATAAAATGAGAAATATATAGTGTTACGCTTATTTTTTCAAAGGATTAGTTTTCATGTGATTTATATCTATTTGGTTTTTTGATATTTTAATTATTATTTTTTTAAATATATTTTTTGCTTAAGCTCCATTCTAACACAAATATTTCCCATTGCACATATCATTATCCCATTTAGCTAACTATCGTACGGCATCATACGTACATGGCGATACAACAAGACACGTATGTGAGGACAACAGAAAAAGTTTTGCATATGTTCCAAAAAAATACATGCATACACATGCACAAATATGAATGCATTGTCAATACAGTTATAATAAACTTCAGTTTGTATGCATGTATTACCGTTCATTACAATGAATTTTAAATGCTAGGATGGTCAGGATCATGATGATAGATATTACAAAATATTGTCAAGTTGCAAAAATTTATAGCTGCACAAATAATCATATTCCTTTAAATAAGCTAGAGAATTATATAAACAATCCATTTCCAAATCAAATATGATTTTGAATCCATCATTCAGTGTTTGACTTTTAACATCCAAATATGCATCCATGATATGTTCCCAAATTTTGGGATAGGTCAAAAGCGGTGTGTAAATCATATCAAATATCAGATGACCAAAGTATTGGGTGTGTATCTGATAACAGTACATCTTTCATCGAAGTATCCATGCTACATAAAGCCAATATCTAACTTTAAGATCATAATGAAAATCTACTAAATATCTATAACTTTAGTTGGCCTAACGCAAGTGACATTTACGACTTTTTGTCGGCTTAAACAATTACCACAATGTATACCAAAACAATATGGCAAAAATGATCATCTTAAACTGCAATAAAAGAAATATTAGCATGCACAAAAGGACATAACCAGAACCAGATGTAGCCTTCTCAAGCTCAAGTATCACAATACATTACAAAAATATGCACCTTTTGTTTCCCCGTGTTTTTCGATGCTCAGCAACCTCGGCAGAAATAGAATTAATAGGTCCCCTCTCACTGATGCAGCCTGCACTAACTTGTTCCTAAGAGAAGAAAGAACAATAAATTCGGATATAGTGCTCTTCAAAAAATTGAGGAAATAAATTTTGGAGCACGACGACTTCGGCACCATTAGAGTGCAAAACAGTTAGGATATATCCGATTCGATCCGAAACCATATCCAAAATTTGATGAAGATATGGTTATGACTTTTTCATAAGAATATCTGCAGCCATTTTTAGAAAGCGGTATGGATATGATAAGTGTCATATCCGAACCGAATGCACCCCTAGGCACCATACCACATGACTGAAAAAAGTTGAAGAAATTACTTGAGCAAATGTAGCGGAAAAACCATTCTGAAAACTTATCCTCTTAAGATGGCAATAAAGCATCTCAGAAACGTCTAGAACCTAAAAAAAATAAAACTAACAGGTGAGTAAATATTGAAGATCTTGGTAGAACAATACTATTTTCAAAATTGGTAAAGGACTATAAGTGAAAAGACTGCCCGAAAGAACAGTTATTGTGTACACTAAGTGAAAAGGCTGCCCAAAAAGAAGAGTTATTGTGTACATCCAAAAAGAAGAGTTGTTGTGTATATTATGCATAAAAATCAGAAAAAAGAAAGTAAGGTAAAACTGAAGGGATAAGCCAATAGTCCACTATGAAGAGATCAACATGCTTTAATTAAAAAGAGCTTCAGTTTTATGCAAGTATAACCCAAGTTAAATAATTTCCTTCAAACCTAGACAGATGGGATCTAAATATTATGTCTGTTCCACTGACATTGACAAATATCACAAAAGTACTGCTTGCAACTACTTTCAGTCTACAGATTGTCTCTTTCTCAGAGATTAATTACATTGCATTCTTTCCATTGTACAAAGTGGGATTTTTTAGTCATAATTATAACTAACGAATAACAATATTTGCCTTTCTAGATCTCATTTACTCTAGTTAACGCCTCAGTGGCATGTCATTGCACCAAATACAACTCGTTTATTCTTGGTGAATAAAGTAAAAGACTATACAAAAACAGATTGCTACCTAGGTAGAAAATAGAGAAGATAGCTCAGATGTCATAATCTTTAGCGATGCCATAGAAGCAGGCTAACACTTCCAGTAACAGACATCAGGTTGTGTCATACATCAGATTATCAGAGCCAAAAGTATGTTGTCCCACAATACTAAAAAATATAGTGTACTGTCGTCATAGTTACATAGTCTGCTGTACGTAGCGGGTCGTCGTACGAATTCGAGACTTTGAAATTTTAGATTCGACAGGGGGTAGCTTGCTTCGATACGCAAGTTCGATATAGGATACGGTGTAATTTTTTCTGAGTACGCTTATCATTTTTCAAAGCGTATAGTAGGAAATCAGAAACTACAAAAACTAATTATGCATTTCAATATTTTTTTTCATACACAATACTTTAATACTTTATTTTTATAATTTATGAATACATAAAACTTAAAACATTAAATATTGGACAGCCTCTTAATAAATTTTTTTCTATTTTGCAACTTTTTCCCCTTAACATCAAGTGCATCTTATGCTAATTTCGAGTTCAAACAATTCCATCTAAGCTCCTCCGACTTACTTGAAGAATCCTCCAAGTTATCATTAGTAAGATCCATATCCCATCCTTTATACGAATCAGCTTTGTAATTATCACAAAATCGTGACAGGAGGTGAATGTATGATGGATGAATACTAACTTATCCGCCCTTCCACTGTTCAATCCATTCCTTTTTTCACACTATGTATGTAGGAATAAGTACTCCAATTTCTCTCAGCTGAAGAGCTACTAATAGGCCGAGACAAAATCGTCTTAGTAACAGCAGTTAAAGAAATAGTGATCTAGAAATTAGTTATTAACTTTGGATAACTTCCACTTACTGAAAAAATACTTTCAATGATATTATCGAAACGTATAAAAAAATCCAAGTGCATGGACATGAAAACAAACTTGTAAATCAACTTTGGTCCCCTCATATTTAGTAAGGGGTAAGCTAATTTTGGGGAACCAATTCGTATATCAGAGGGAATCGGTTCGTAAATGTACAGGGAATCGGTTCGCATGAACTGTTTGACAATTCGAGGGGGGTCCAGGGAATCGCGCAACTATGACTGTTGTGTTAATAGAGAGGGTTGTCAAATGAGTGCCAACATCCTATATATACACTGTTGTCCAACACAACATGGGTATTGCTGCAGGATAAGAAGATACACAAAAAGCAAATGGTTGTAACATTTAGCATGCAGATAAAGGATCTTGAAAGCTTTATCCATCATAGACATCAATATTAAAGAATGAACACCAGAATGCCAGTCAATTTTTCAAACCAAAATCATAATTTTCAGATAAATACGTTGTATTATCTTTGCGGGAATAAGGCTGAGAGGAGAGAAAATTAAAGCTTTGACAACTGAAGCTGAACAGCCAGAGCTCAACATAAAGACAACTTAAGAAGTTATCTTTCAGGCTGTTCAGATGGAGAAAAAAGTTATGCTTTTTTATGATAACTTTTTTTTAAATAATTATAAGGAGGAAAGGTTTCGGTCAGCATGGCTGTTTAGTTCTCACTACTTCTCATTTAAGGGGTACTCTTGCCCTCAAAATTTCTTCACTAAGCTCAATGACCTAAGTATAGATGTACAAAATAATCCAAGAATATAGGGATGTAAGAGACAAAAAAATGTACATGATAATCCAATTATGCAAGCATACATCTGTTTGAACAAGGTTTTCAGAATGTTCAAGTAATTATGGAATATAGTGGATACTACACAAGTACGCACAAAGGTATGAGTATGTATTATCCTGCTACAGCTCACCTCAACCCATTCAGGACGAAATTCACAAAATGGTGATCGATAAACCTTCACCCGCCCATCCGTTGTGCAAACAGCCAGCAAACACCTGTAATAACAGCAATAAAAGCTAGCTTCATTCTCTACATCATAACATGGGACGATGTCCAACATGGCTCAGTTCTCAGTAGCACAGTTAGCACTAAATAACTAAAATCAAGAACTAAGAACAGCAACAAGCTATTCAAAAGAGAGTGATGGTAATCAAATACAAGCCCTATTTATTTTACTACCATAAGAATCAAATATCTTCCAAGAGTAGAGACATGTGAGACCCATTAGCAAATGCAAAGTCTATCCTACAATTATGATTATTATAATGATAAAGAAAAAAAAGGAAAGAAACGATTATATTTACCCCGAGTTCGGAGCAAATCCCAGAGGAGACCACGATATCGACCGTGCACATGGACTAACATCACGGGCTAAACTAAGCGGCATTATGCAGGGAGTAAGACGCTCTACAAACACAAATTTCGACATAGATTTATAAAAAGAACCAATCTTTCTACTCAAATATTGTCATCAAATTCGACAAATTAACTAAAAAAACACTGAAAGTTGAAATAAACTACCTTTTTCATCGACAACCCCAATCCGAAAAGGAATACTCGGGGGGAGCCTTATCAATCCCCGAGGCCGCACAGGCAAAGCCGGATTCTGAACATAAAAGGAAAAAAATCAAAATCATAATCACAAATTGGAGAAAGAAACTAGGGTTTTAATCGAATTTTACCAGGATAGTGATGAGGTGACCAGAGGCAACGGCCACCAAGTTCTCCTTCGACCACGCGATGGAGTTAGGGTACGAGGGAGAGGAGACTAGGGTTACTGGTTGATC